AAAAGTAGGCTGTCACAATTTAGGTGACAATCACAGTGACAATAAGATAAAGTTCTAATTTTGGACAGGAGAGGTTTACGAAATTGAAATTGTCAAATTGTAGTAGTTACTCAAAAGATCTTGAAGTAGAATAAGAATGTTATGGTGATTCTCCTCTAGGCTGGCTCTGTGCCCAAGTAGCAGCTGTCATTGCTCCTCTGGTAGGAATTTGGTAACTCAGAGTTTCCTTCTTGGTCATAAGCATTTGGTTTCTTTCTTCTTTCTAATTACTCTCATCTTATACATCTATTAAGGTCTGACTTAAGTCCCACCTCTTCCCCACTTCTTTGGTATAATAAACATTTATGATGTGTCAACCATGTGTAATTTACATTCCTGGGAAACAATCCCTATCCCTAATATAGGAATCCCAAGGCTTTGAAGCCACCAATTAATCCCATAATCACGACTTTGTCTTCGTTGATCTCTTGAGACCCTTTAATTTACAGTTTTCCTTTGGGTAGCATCAACATTATAATTAGACAGGAATATATTTCAGAAATAAAAGCACTAATCTCCAGTCTTCTCACATATAATCTATTATATATTATCAATACCTACTTACGTCATTGGGCAATAAAGCACCCCATAGAAACTTAGGAACTTGTTACTTGTTTTATAAATCACAGTATTTTCCTTAATTTTGTGCTATTCACTAAAAAGAAATAATCTATCCTGGATATAAAAGGAATACTCAAGTACATCATTTTATTTTTTTCCAGTTGTGCTTTTACTTTTTTACAATGAATGTAACATGTAAAAATATACAAAATGAGAATTTAAATTGTGTGAAAATTTTATTTTCCTTTTGAAATTTGAATTGAAGCATCTTTAGAAGCGCATAATATGATTTATTAATAGTATCAGTATTATTTCTACTTGTTTAATTGCATTTCTCTCAGATATTTATCTAAATCTAACAATGCACACTAACAAGATGCTTTGTGAAGCTGATCACTTAATAAAAATAATGAAGCATTTTATATTTTATTCCTGTGCCAAAAGCCTTAAAGCTACTTCCCAAAAGCTATAAAAACTGTTTCTTGCAGCTATAAACTAAACTAACGCCCACCAGAGGCTGCTGCAACTGCATGAAGAAAAGCTAACAACGGCCCAGTGACATCACATCTTCATCTAACTCAACAAACCGGGTACTTAATACTCAGTACTTTTCCTACACAGTGGTGCACATTCATCTCTTGGTCGATGACTCACCATAACGGAAGGAAAGCTACTGTGGAGAAAACCTAGGTAAAGTCAGAGGAAACTTGAGATGGAGTTGGAGACCACCGTGGTGAAGGAGAGTGGACCTCAGACTTCTGTCCTTCTGTTCTCTAGCGGTGTCAGATGTTCAGCGTCTGCCTGTAGGTCCTTGCAGCTAGAAAACATTCTGCCCTGCGGGACTGAATTAGGACCAGACAAGCGGTGATGCTTTCAGACTGACAGTGCAGGTCTTCCTGTGGTCAGTATTACAAGAATACACATTCTCGTGCCCGGCGCCGTGGCTCACTAGGCTAATCCTCTGCCTTGCGGCACCGGTACACCGGGTTCTAGTCCCGGTCGGGGCGCCAGATTCTGTCCCGGTTGCCCCTCTTCCAGGCCAGCTCTCTGCTGTGGCCAGGGAGTGCAGTGGAGGATGGCCCAAGTACTTGGGCCCTGCACCCCATGGGAGACCAGGAGAAGCACCTGGCTCCTGCCTTCGGATCAGTACGATGTGCCGGCCGCGCCTGCTGCGGTGGCCATTAGAGGGTGAACCAACGGCAAAGGAAGACCTTTCTCTCTCTGTCTCTCTCTCACTGTCCACTCTGCCTGTCAAATAATAATAAAGAATAAGAATACACATTCTCCTGAGGCGTTTTTGCAACTTCCACGCGGTTATAGGTGGTTTCTTCATGATCTTCATCAATCTCTAAAAGGATCTTATTTGCTCAGGTGTTTATTATCTTTTCCTTCTCAAGTACAATATGAGTCCCATCTCGTCTTACTCAACATGTATCACTGCCTTCTAACACATACAACCAGCAGGTGTGTGTGGGGAGCAACCCAGACTGGACTGAGTTACTGGAATTAAGACTTATTCTATGCATCTGCTCTCCCACAATATGGCGCTGGGAGAGGAGGCAACAGCTTCTACCCAGCTGCCTCTCACCAACTTGACAAACTGTAGGACTTGCTCCTGATTGGAGAGCAGCGTACTCGGCGTGTGGGCAGCCGAGTTAGGATTGGCGGAGGAGGACTATAAAGGAGGAGAGAGATGGCATGCACCAGGAACATCTAAGGGGAACATCTAAGGGGAACATCTAGCTGAAGGAACACCTGTGCAGCCCCCGAGAAAGCCGGCCGGCGGTGTGCCGCTCCCCTGCGGAAGTGGGGAAAGTGGCAGGGGGAACTGCCCTTCCACGGAGGTGGAAGGGATAGTAGCCAACCCGGGAAGAACCAGCAGCAAACCCGGGGAGGGCCGAGCAGGCGAGGGAACAGCGCAGGGTCCTGTGTCGTTCCTCCACGAAGAGGGGGAGCGACATAATGGTGCCGTGACTCGGATATGAAGCCTAGGCAGGGTTTAGTGTCGTTCCCCCATGAAGACGGGGAGCGACAGGTGTGCAGTAAACATTTGTAGAATTAATCAACTCTACTTCCATTGTGTAGTGACTCTTTGAATGGGAGTAAGAACCCTACTCTGTGCCAGGCTTCAGACTACATTTATTTAAGGATAAATTTTACAGTGTTGAGACACAGACATGAATAATACATTGCCCTTTCCCTTGAAGCACTTCAGTGAATTTTAAAAATGTATATCCGCATTACTTTCATTATTATTATTATTATTATTATTATTTTGACAGGCAGAGTTAGACAGTGAGAGAGAGAGAGAGAAAGGTCTTGCTTCCAAATGGCCGCTACGGCCAGCGCGCTGCACTGATCCAAAGCCAGGAGCCAGGTGCTTCCTCCTGGTCTCCCATGGGGTGCAGGGCCCAAGCACTTGGGCCATCCTCCACTGCACTCCCGGGCCACAGCAGAGAGCTGGCCTGGAAGAGGGGCAACCGGGACAGAATCCTGCGCCCCAACTGGGACTGGAACCTGGTGTGCTGGCACCGCAGGCGGAGGATTAGCCTAGTGAGCTGCAGCACCGGCCATCTGCATTACTTTCACAAAGAATTTAAAGTAGCTTTCAATGATATATATATATATTAGAACTGATAAAGATATAAAAGATTAAAACAGAAGTAAAAGTAAAAGGCATAATTTAAACATTTGAGTTAAAATAATTTTCATATTTAAGCATGAATTTTAGTTTTTTATTTTTTGGTATGCAAGTCTAAGAAACACAGGGTATAGAATTCTTATTATCTGACAAATGAACACATCTGATAATTGGTTTAAAAAGAATGTTTCTTGATATTAAATTCTGTTTGTGGCACAAGCCTCCTTTATTACAAAGGACACTTATACTTACATAATATATAATAAACTTAATTTTAAATGACTGTTCCCCGTTCAATCATTTATTTGATCCCTGCTAAAAGATAAATACATATTAAAATTTAATTTATTGGCCGGCACCGTGCCTCACTTGGTTAATCCTCCGGCTGTGGCGCCGGCATCCCATATGGGCGCCGGGTTCTAGTCCGTAGTGGCCATTTGGGGGGTGAACCAACAGAAGAAAGACCTTTCTCTCTGTCTCTCCCTCTCACTGTCTATAAGGTTTCATAGCTAGAACACATTCTTTTTTATTTTTTACCAGATATTATAATTTTTTAAGTTTTTATTTAATGGATACATTTTTTCATAGATACAACTTTAGGAATATAGTGGTTCTTTCCCCCATACCAACCCTCCCACCCCTAATCCCATCCCACCACCCTCTCCCTCTCCCATCTCCTTCTTCATTGTGGTTCATTTTTAGTTTGATTTTACATACAGAGGACCAACTCCATGTAGAACACATTCAAAAATATAATACAAAGTAAAGGTTCAGTATTGGAAAATTATTTTTTAAATTTATTTACTTATTTGAAAAGTGAAGTTACAGAGAAGAAGAGGCAGAGGCAAGGAGAGAAAGAGATCTACCATCTACTGGTTCACTCCTCAAATGGCCACAATGGCTGGGGCTGGGCCATTTTTGCTGCTTTCTCAGGTGCATTAACATGGAGCTGGATCAGAAGTGCTTGGGCTCCTGCACCCAAGTGGGAGACCCACTTCAGATCAGCCCAGCTCCAACTATTGTGGCCATTTTGGGAGTGAACCAATATGGAAGATCTCTCTTTCTGTCTCTCCTTCTCTCTGTCTGTAACTCTGCCTCTCAAATAAATACATAAATCTTAAAAAAAAAAAAAAGAAGTGTGTCATTTTCAAAAGTCAGTGTTGTGGCACAGTGAGTTATGCCTCCTGTGACAGCAGCATCCCATATGGTCACCAATTCAAGTTCCTGGGCTCCACTTCCAATCCAACTCCCTGCTAATGTGTCTGGCAAAGCAGCAGAAAGTGGTCCAAGAACTTGGACCTCTGCCATCCTCATGGGAGACCCAAATGGAGTTCCTGGCTCCTTGCTTGCAGCCATTTGAGGAGTGAAACAGTGGATGAAAGCTCTCTCTCTTTTTCTCCCCCAGTCCCCCACTCTGGTTTCAAATAAATTTTTTAAAAATTTAAGAAATGTATTATTTCTTTATAAGTTATAATAGTTTTCGACTATTTTTATATATTAGATAATGGACCAGGTGTACTTGAGATGAACATATATTCTTTCATTGTTAGGTTGAATCTTGTATAAATGTCAGTTAGATCCAATTGACTGATGGTGGTGATATCAACACATGGCTTCCAAGTTATCCCCAGGGAACTCCAACCCAGCCTGCCTAAAAGGAGAAAGAGCATGGAGAAAAGTGCTTGGGAGGTTTTTATGACATCACTTCCGTTCAAATTCTATTGGCTAGAACTCAATCCCATGGCTTCATCTAGTGGTAAGGGAAACCTGGATACGTAGGCTAGCTTTTTGCCTGGGAAGAAGAGGAAAACATACTTGGACAAACAGTTAACAATTTCTTTCTGTGTTCTGGAAGAACTTGTATGAGATAAGAAATACTTGAATCATGGGTATTCAGTAGAAATTTTAAAGTTGTTGGGACCTACTATTTTCTTTGGGGGAAGTGTTGTTTTTTGCTGATTTAATTTAATGGATATATGTTCATTTAGGTTTTCTATTTATTTTTGAGTCACTTTTTGTAAGTCACTTTTTTAGCTGTATGTTTTATGTTAGTTTTGAAATACATTAGAATAAATTTATTGAAAGTATTCTCTTTTAACCTTTGTTATATCTGTAATTATATTATTTTATCATTTTTAATATTCTCCCTTAAGCTTTTGATTTTTTAATTTGATTAATCTTGCTAGAGATTTGTCAGTTTTACTAGTCTTTACCAAGAATCTTGATTTTTATTTCATTAATTTCTGTTATTATTTCCTTGCTCTACTTTCTTTGGGTTTACTTTGCTGATATTTTTCAACTTATACTATGTCCATTTTTTTTCAATCTTGTTTTCTAACACATAGTTTTGGGCTATCCATTTCCCTTACATTCCAACTGTTTTTACTGAATGGATTTATACATAATACTTTTATTATTGCCTTGTTCTGTGCTTTTTCTAATTTCCATTGATTTACTCTTTAATGAATGAGGTTTTTTTAAAGATTGATTTATTATTTTGAATGAGCTACAGAAAGGAAGAGACAAAGATCTTCATCCACTGGTTCACTCCCCAGATGGCTGCAATGGCCAGGGCTGGGCCAGATCAAAAACAGAAGCCAGGAGTCTTTTCTGGATCTCCCATGTAGGTGGCAGGGGCCCAGGTACTTAGGCTGTTATCTGCTGCTTTTCCCAGGTTATTAGCAGGGAGCTGGATTGGAAATGGAGCAGCTAAGACCTGAACTGATGCCCATATGGAATGCTAACATCACAGGTGGCAGCTTAACCCACTGCACCAACTGCCTGCCCCAGAATGAGTGTTTTATAGTGTGATTTTAAATTTCCACAAGCTTGGGAGTTTTCCACAGGATATATTTTAGGTTATTAATTTGAAAATTTTGTTGTTGGAAGAGAATGTGGTATGTATTATAATTCCATAAAAAAAATCTGTATCTTGCTTGATAACCTGATATACACATACTAAGTTTGAGATGTTCTCCATTTATTAGTTATGAATTTTTGCAACATTATCTTATTTATTCCTTACTGCAATTATGTGAGATAGTATGCCTTCCATTTTTCAAGTGATAACATTAAGATCCAACAATATAATAAATAACATTTCCAATTTCACAGATCCAGTTAGGCTTAATCCAACCAAAGCAGACATCACTTATAAACAAGCAATGTGAACAACTTTAGGTCCTGGTTATGAGTAATCAAAAAATAAAGCAGGACTTTATAGTACTGTAAGTACTGCAAAATATAAAATCCTTGGTATAGATACATGATAATTCAAGTTTTATATATGTACATATAAATACACATATTTATATATATGTATATATATAAATTTGGCAGTGATAAGTTCTCAGGCAATGTTTACCTTTTGTCTTGCCTGTATTTTTCTATCAATCTTCCTTTGTCTTTATTTGCTCCAGTAGGATACGTATTGCATATATTATATATAACATATAAATATATGCTAGATAGATAAACAGACTGAGGAAGAGAGACCTACAAAGGCAATAAAGATGTAGACAGAGAAATGGGAGGAAGACCAAGTGAATATAGAATACAGACACCAGGGAAAGAGAAAGAAAATTCCATAGTGGGCTGGTTTGTGTTTTTTTACCATTGATCACCTTACAAGTAGAAGTTATGAGGAAGTAGAAATTTGTATTTTAAGAATTTTGACTATAAATGGTAATGGAAGAATCAGCTGTAAGCTGGAGCACACTGTGGGTGAATGGTGAGTTTTGTTTATTTTCAGACTACAGTCATAATGAAGCTTAAGACTTAAGCCTGGCTAACTGTTTCTTAAATTTTTTTAAGACTTGGAGGCCAGACCCACCAATTCTTTTTTTAAAACATTTTTTTGATTTGTGGGTCTAGCATTGTGGCATAGTGGGTTAAGCCATTGCCTGTGACACTAGCATCCCTTATGAGCACCCTCATGGCCTGAGAAAAGCAGCAGCAGATGGCCCACACACTTAGGCCTTTGCTACTTATGTGAAGAACCGGATGAAGCTCCTGGCTTCTGGCTTCGGTCTGGCCCAGCCCTGTTCATTTCGGCCATCTAGGGAGTGAACCATTGAATGCAAGTTCTCTCTCTATCTCTCCCTATCTCTTTAACTCTGACTTTCAAATAAATAAATAAATAAATCCTTAAAATAATTTTTTTTATTTGTTTGAGAGGCAGAGAGACTTAGAGAGAGACAGAGAAGGCTCCCATCTTCTGGTTCATTCCCACATTGCCTGCAATAGTTGGGGCTGGGCTGGGGACAAGGCCAAAGCTGGGAGCTGGAAACACAATCCAGGTCTTTGAGCCATTCCTTTTTTTTTTTTTTTTTTTTACAGGCAGAGTTAGATAGAGAGAGAGAGAGACAGAGAGAAAGGTCTTCCTTTTTCCATTGGTTACCCCCCAAATGGCTGCTGTGGCCAGCACGCTGCGCCGATCCAAAGCCAGGAGCCAGGTGCTTCCTCCTGGTCTCCCAAGCAGGTGCAGGGCCCAAGCACTTGGGCCATCCTCCACTGCACTTCCGGCCACAGCAGAGAGCTGGCCTGGAAGAGGGGCAACCAGGACAGAATCTGGCGCCCCAACCAGGACTAGAACCCGGGGTACCGGAGCCGCAGGCAGAGGATTATCCTAGTGAGCTGTGGCGCCGGCTATGAGCCACCAATTCTTAACAAGAATTTGCAATAGAAAATTTCCAGGCAATATTAACTTTTAAAAAAATCTCTCCCTTTCCTTTAAAAATATTTTATTTATTTTATTTTATATGAAAGAGAAAGAGATCTTCCAACCACTGGTTTGCTCCCCCAAATGCTCACAACAGCCAAGGCTGGGCCAGGCTAACACCAGGATCCAGGAACTCCATCCAGGTCTCCCATGAGGTTGACAGCGAATCAAGTACTTGAGCCATCATCTGGTGCCTCCTAGAGTATACTTTAACAAGTAGCTATATTGGAAGCAGAGAAGCCAGGACTTGAACCAGGCTCTCCAATACGAGATGCAGATGTCCCAAGCAGAATATTTTTTTCCAAGATTTATTTATTTATTTATTTGAAAGGCAGAGTTACCAAGAGGCAAGGCAGAAAGAGACAGAGAGTCTTCCATCCACTGGTTCATTCCTCAGCTGCCACGCTGGCCAGAGCTGAGCCAAGCAAAGCCAGGAGATAGGAGCTTCTTCCAAGTCTCCCACACGGATACAGGGGCCCAAGGACTTGGGACATCTACTCCAAGCAGAGTCCATCCACTGCACCAAATGGCTGTCCCCCTCTGCCCTGTTTTTCTATAGGTCTTCCTATGTCTTCATTTTATACTTATTCTATTATAACATCTATAATACTTTTTATTTACACTTTTTTTCTTACATATATGTCCATACTACTAAGCAATGTACTCATACTTCCTAAGGTGAAGAACCTCTTGTTATTCATGTTTTCAATACTAGCATAAGCATAATGCCTATCATTCAATCATCAAATATTTAGTTTTTAAGTAGCCAGTCATTATTCCAAATTCTCTTTTTAATAAGATTTATTTTATTTATTTGAAAGACTGAGAGAGTAGAAAACCAAACCAAAAGAGAAGGAGATGGAAACCGTGCAAAACCAAAACCTAGGTTTCAAATACTAGCAGGGGCAAAGAAATGTGCCTTGAGCCTTTACTCTGCGGGAAGCCCTGTGTAATTCCCGAACTCAGGGTCGGAATTGCACAGGAATCGAATTCAGCCTCCCACTCTCTTGGTTAACGTCTTAACGATGATATTTAACATATTATATAATATAAATTAATTTTACCTAGAGAATAAAAATAAATGTGTGAAATAATCTTTTATAATTGATTCGTATAGGTTTTTTTAACCACTTAACCTATTTTCTGGCTGCTGGCGCTGTCAGTTTGGGAATCGGTTTCTTTGCTTTGGCATCAGCTTTGTGGTTCCTGATTTGCAAACGAAGGTAAGATTTATTAGAATTTTTGTTCAGCTTATTTTTCTTTTAAAAATCCAATGAAGGACTTTTTAAAATAGTATCAAGCATAAATAACTATACTAGTAGATTCTGTAATCTGGGATTTGGTTTCAGTTGTTTTGGGCAGGGAGGGAAGCAATACAGGTTTTAAAGAAGAAGGAAAAGGGCTGGCGCCGCGGCTCACTTGGCTAATCCTCCACCTGCGGTGCCAGCACCCCGGGTTCCAGTCCTGGTTGGGGCACCAGATTCTGTCCTGGTTGCTCCTCCTCTTCCAGTCCGGCTCTCTACTGTGGCCCAGGAAGGCAGTGGAGGATGGCCCAAGTCCTTGGGCCCTGCACCCGCATGGGAGACCAGGAGGAGGCACCTGGCTCCTGGCCATTTGGGGGGTGAACCAATAGAAGGCAGACCTTTCTGTCTCTCTCTCTCTCACTAACTCTGCCTGTAAAAAAAAAGAAGAAGGAAAAGAACTAGAATAAAATGAGGTATTTAAAAAAAAAACTTTAGGAAAGTAAACTTAGAAAATAAGTTTATTTTGGTGAGAAAATTTTTGAAATCCTTTCAAGTGCCTCCATATAATAGCAATCATTATGCATTAAAATTTTGAGGAATAACAAGACTTACTCTACTTTCTAGAAGACATGGGCTTAAGTATAAGGCTAGATAATTTAAAAAGTTCAACTCCCAACCTAGAGGTTAAAAACATTACTGAGAGATGAGGTGAGCATTTAGCCTAGCAGTTAAGATGCCAGTTAGGATGTCCATATCCCTTATTGGAATGCCTGGGTCCGAGTTCCAGCTCTAGTCCAGATTCCAGCCTCCTGCTACTGCAGCCTCTGGGAAGTTGCAGGGGATAGTTAAATAGTTAGATCTCTGCCACCCATGTGGGAGGCCTAGGTTGATTTCCAGATTCCTGGCTCCAACCTAGCATCCCCAGCCCTGGCTATTGTGGGCATCTGGTCAGTGAGCAAGCAAATGAAATATCTCTGTTTCTCCCTCTCCTTCTCTTTCTCTATCTCTCCCTGTCTCTCAAATAAATGAAAATAAATCTTTTTAAAAACCAACCATATTACTAAAGAGAAAGGCACTCTTTCTTTAGGGACTATTTAAGAAAAGAGCTGGGCCAGTGTTGTGGTGCAGCAAGTTAAGCTGCTGCCTGCAATGCCAGCATCCAGCATGAGCACTGGTTCAAGTCCTGGCTCTTCCACTTCCATTCAAACACTCTGCTAATGTGCCTGGAAAAGCAGCCACAGCTGGCCAAGTGCTAGGGCCCCTGCCACCCATGTGGAAGAGCATGATGGAGTTCTAGGATCTTGGCCTCAGCCTGGCCCAGTCCCAGCTGTTGGAGGCCATTTGGGAAATGAATCAGTAGATGGAAGAGCTCTCTGTCTCTCTTTCTCTCTCTTCCTCCCCTTCTCCCTCCCTCTATATCCATCTATCTCTGCCTTTCAAATAAATAAATAAATCTCTTTTTAAAAAATAAGAACTTAAGAAATGCTCTGGTATAGTCTAAAATAGTCTCTTGATGGAAACAGAAAAAAAAAGATTGACATTTTAGTTCCTTTCAACTCTAATATTTGATGTTTCTAATTATATAATTAATTCAATATTTGTGTTGTCTGATGTTTACAAGATGTAAATTTTAACATGATCTTCTCAAATGGCCACAACAGCCATGTCTTGGCCAGGATAAAGCCAGGAACCATGAACACCACTTTGGTCTCCCACATTGGTGACAGGGGCCCAAGCACTTGGGCCGTCTGGCACTGCCTTCCCAGAAGCAGGTAGCTGGATTAGAAGTGGGGTAATATGGACTCAAACCAGCACTCCCAAACAGGAGTGTCATGGCTTAACCCACTGTGTCACAATGACACCCTTTCTCCCCATTGCTTTTACCAGAAGGACAAAATGACATGCCTTTTAAGGCCCTACATTGTCTGCCTATGCATGATCCTCAATTTAATCCCCCCCTTAACCTCTTGATTTCTGTCTTTCTCCTACATTGTTCTAATCTGGCCACTGGATCTTTATTTATTTGATATTTTCTGTGCTTGGAATGTTGTTACCTACACTTCCCCCCTCTTGCACCAAACTCTACCTAATAACTAATACTGTATCTCCAGATTGCCCAGGTCAATCATCTTTTCCTCAGGAGAGCCGCCTTTGACTTTTCTAACCAGATTCATTTCCCTTGTTACTCTCCTCAATAGCACTTTCCACGTTGGTAATTTTTCTTTTTCTTGTGATTAGTCTATTAATATCTATCTTCCTTACTAGTGTTTAAGCTCCATGAGAGCAATGACAGTTCCATAAGGGTACCTGTGCTTTTTTTCTTCCACCACTATAAAAATACACAGAAGGGCCCCTCAAGAAATTTGTGGAACAATGGAATTAAAAGGTAAGTGTATATTGGTGCAAAAATTTTTTGAAAATCATCCATAATTTTTTCATAATGTACACTTTCATGAACTTTTTGAAATCCCCCTTGTATACATGAATTTCGGATTTTTTTGCAGTAAAATAAGCTTGTCATTTTTTTTTAGAAGCAGAGTGAGATAGAGGAACAGAGACAGAGAGAGAAAGGACCAAAGCCAGGAGCTAGGAATTCAACCCAAATAACCCACGTGGGTGGCAGAAATCAACTACTAGAGCCGTAGTGGTTGCCTCCCAGGGTCTGCATTAACAGGAACCTGAGTCTGGAGCCAGAGCCCAGATTCAAACTCAGATATATAATGTAGAATGCTTTATAGTTAAAATCACACAGTATGTAGCCTTCTCAAGTTAGCTTCTTTCACTTAATATGCACTTAAGTTTTTTCCTTGTCTTTTCATTATTTGGTAGATCATTTTTTCTTAGTGCTAAATAATATTACATTTTATAGAAGTGTTGTTTTTCAAATGTTTATGTTTATAATGACCATTTGAAACTACATTCCCTTATACCTATCTTTCTTTGATCAGCTGACATTTTATTTGAGCTTCATTGTTTTTTGTTTGTTTGTTTGTTTGTTTTTGACAGGCAGAGTGGATAGTGAGAGAGAGAGACAGAGAGAAAGGTCTTCCTTTTTCTGTTGGGTCACCCTCCAATGGCTGCTGCGGCCGGTGCACCGTGCTGATCCGATGGCAGGAGCCAGGTACTTATCCTGGTCTCCCATGGAGTGCAGGGCCCAAGCACTTGGGCCATCCTCCACTGCACTCCCGGGCCACAGCAGAGAGCTGGCCTGGAAGAGGGGCAACCAGGACAGAATCCGGCGCCCCGACTGGGACTAGAACCCGGTGTGCCGGCACCACAAGGCGGAGGATTAGCCTAGTGAGCCACGGCGCCGGCCTCATTGTTCTTAATTATATAATAACCAGAAAGAAATAGTTCAAAGATTTGTTATTAATATTCAAACTGAAACTATTAACCCTGCATAAGTAGCCTAATTATCTTCTATAAATAAAACAGGTAGCTTAATTTATGTTACATGAGTAAAATAGGTGTAATGAAATCTAACATGTGAGAAGAAAAAAAAATGCTATAATATACTTATTCTGATTTTTAAACCTTGATGTATAAATAGTGGAAATATTTAATTGACTTATAACTCATGTTTAACAATAATCTCTATAAACTGTTTTTCAGAGAAATATTTCAAAATTCCAAATTTAAAGCAACTGATGAGAGATGCAGGCAAAAACAATCAAAGGCAAAGATTAAATCTCATTCTCAGTGTGTTTTTATCTCTCGAAATTTTCATACTGGAAGATTCCAATTACAGGTAGAACATAATATTTCATAGCTATCTTTTCAAATAATTTCTTTTGATACTATGTCATTAGCATTGTTATCTTTAAATTTGATGGACAGAATATCTACTATTAATTTTTGAAAAATTAATGCAGAACTAAGTGTAAATTACCCAAACTAATTAAAATTTACACAATAGAAAAACTATATATAATATTTCTCCATATCATTAGCCCAAGAACCTACATTCTCCATATTGGTGGTATTATTAGGGATGAAGCTAAGTGGCATAAGAAAAACTGATCATGATGTGTGAACTTTTTGATGCAATGTTGGATTTGATTTGTTAATGTTTTGTTGAGAATTTTTGCATCTATGTTCATCAAGATATTGGTCTGTAGTTTTCTTTTTATATTGTGTCTGTTTTGGTTTTGGTGTCAGAATGATGCTGGCCTCATTTTAAAAGTTCCAAGTTTCTAATATTTTGGAATAGTTTGAAAAGTATTTCAGTTACTTGTTCTTAAAATGTCATAAAATTCGGAGGCTCTTTAATTGTGACAAAGATACTAATATCAAATAGGGGAAATCGTGGGAAGGGTAAACGGGAGCTCCTTATATTACTATCTCACAAAAATAAAAGGCTAAAAAAGAGATTAAATATTTAGTCTGGAAAAATATCAAAGCTTAATTGCATAACTTAACTATTTTTAAAAGTTTTATGTTATAATCAGTTTAAAAAGTAATTAAGGAAAATCTGTGCAATCATCTTCTTGAGCATCATAATCAGAAGCTGATTTTGAATCAATGATTTGCATCTGCACTCAGAATTTTTGACTATTAAATAAATATTATGTTTATTTGTCAAACAAAAAAAAACTATTCTGAAATAAAGTGCTAAAAAAAGAAAAACTGAAAGCACAATTATCAAGCGTGTCAGAGGAAAGAAATTTGGAAATAATACATGCTCAGATAGTTTATCCAAACCAACTAATTAAAATTAAATTCAATTTGACAAGAATATATTAAGCCATTATTATAATCAAAATGCTGGGGCCCCCTGTTGGCGATAGTAAGATGTGGCCCTTACATTCAAAGTGCCTGTGTAGTACAAGTGAGAAAGGTGGACACACTATTCAGTGTCTTATGTGGTAGGTGTCAAAACAGTGCTATGTGGACAAAGAAAAACTAGGTAGAATCACTAGAAATTTAAAATGATGGTATAGCTAAGCAAAACAAATACTTTAGTGATCCCGTAGCATTAATAGAAACAAACTGATAAGATGCCAAAGTTTTACTATACAACCTGAGTTGTTTTTTTGGTTTTTTGTTTTGTTTTGTTTTTGTTTTTGTTTTTGTTTTTGACAGGCAGAGTGGATAGTGAGAGAGAGAGAGACAGAGAGAAAAGTCTTCCATTTGCCGTTGGTTCACCCTCCAATGGCCGCCACGGCTGGCGCACTGCGGCCGGCGCACCGCGCTGATCTGAAGGCAGGAGCCAGGTGCTCCTCCTGGTCTCCCATGCAGGTGCAGGGCCCAAGCACTTGGGCCATCCTCCACTGCACTCCCTGGCCACAGCAAAGAGCTGGCCTGGAAGAGGAGCAACCGGGACAGAATCCGGTGCCCCGACCGGGACTAGAACCTGGTGTGCCGGCGCCGCTAGGCGGAGGATTATCCTATTGAGCCATGGTGCCGGCCACAACCTGAGTTTTGAACTCAAGTTGAACTCAGTATCTCTTCATTTGTTTAATAAACATTATTGAGTGGCAGCACTAGTTTTGCCAATTAGATTACATAAACAAATAAGATAAGAGCCTAGCACTAGAAGAGCCCCAAGTTATTAGAAGAGAAAAATATGCAAACCAATAAATAGAACCTAATGTGATGACAGTTCACCAAGTTGCAGAAGTGCAGACAAGGGAGGCCTAATTAAGGGGAGCTTCAGAGAAATGACATTTTTAATTGTTCTGAGAAATGATTAGAATTATGCCAAGAGGAAAGAGAGTAAAGGACATTTTATGTTCAAAGATTTGTAGCTACAAAAGGAAACAACATGTCCAAAGAAGATATTACAGTATTTGGCGCCTGGAATTCATTGAAGGGATTAGCAGAAAAATATGCTGGAGATGAGATTGTAATGAGCCTCTTTTGCACTCTTAAGGATTTTGAATTTTACCCCATAAGCTTTCCAAATCTACTGGAGGCATTACAGTATTACGGTCAAGAGCATAGACTGTAGAACCAGATCACACAGGTTTGAAAACTGGCTTTACCATACTAGCTGTATAATGCTAGAGACGTCACTTAACTTCCCTTTTCTCAATTTCCTCATCTTCAAGATGAGGATGTTGTTACCTCTATAGATTTGTTGTGAGATTAAATGAATTTGTATGTGAAAATCATTGAGAGTAGTGTTTGGGACATAGTGAACACTAATCAATATGTTATTAGTATTACTGGAAGGTTTCAAGCAGGCATAGGTAAAGATCAACTCATAGCTAAAATTTTCAAATGAAGGAAAATATAGAGATTGCATTGCAATATATGTCTTTAACACTAATTTAATGAAAACCCGTCACATTTTACTAGTACTAGTGATTTACTGATTCCATCATATTTAATGGTGGATACATACAAATAGACAATTACAAAAATATGAGTGCAATTTTAATTAGTTTGTTTATTATTCATTCAGCAAATATGGAGAGGAGCTTTCAAAAGTTTGTAGGAAAATGGAATTTAAAGATAGTTGGGATTCTCTGTGAGCTTTCTGAAGCCCCTTATATGCCAAGAATTGTTCTAGGCAATTGGGAATTTGGGGATGAATGAAGGGGACAATAGTCCTGCTTTTGTGGAATTTATAGTATAATGGGAGAGATGAACAATATACAAGGAAACACAAAACAATATTCAGAATTCTGTTCTTAATTTTTAATTGAAAAAAATCGGTACATTTATATATACATCATTAACAACATGTTTTGAAATATGTGTACATTGTGGAATGATTAAATTGAGCTAATTAGCATATGCATTACTTTATATACTTTTTTTGTGGCAAGAACACCTAAAATCTACTCTTAGCAACTTTCAAGAATATATTGTTGTCAACTATAGTCACCATATTGTACAATAGATCTCTTGAGCTTATTCCTCCTGTATAACTGAATTTTTTTTATTCTTTGACTGTCTCCTCACTCCCAACCCCAGCCCTGGTATCTATCCATCATTCCTTTTTTTTTAAGTTTTATTTATTTGAAAGTCAGAATTAAGGGGGAGGCAGGGGAGAAATCTTCCATCTGCTGGTTCACTCCCCAAAAGAGTCAGGCCAGATTGAAGCTAGGACCCAGGGCTTCTTCTGAGAGCCAGGAGCTTCTTCCAAGTCTCCCACGTGGGTGCAGGGGCCCCAGCACTTGGACCATGCTCCGCTGCTTTTCCAGTGCATTAGCAGGAATGTGGATCTTAAGTGGAGCAGCTGGGACTCGAACCAGTGCCCATATGGGATGCTGGTGTCATGGGTGACAGCTTTACCAGCTGTCCCAAAATGCTGGCCTGGTATTTCACCATTCTACACTGTGCTTCTATAAGTTCTACATTTTTGGATTCCACATATGAGTGAGATCATGCAATAATTGTCTTTACGTGTGTGGCTCCTATTTTATTAACATAATGTTCATCCATGTTGTTGCAAATGACAGTGTTCCTCCCTCTTTAAGGCTATTATTCAGGATTTTTGATAGCCAGTGATAGGAGCCCCACTCAAAACACAATAAGGAAGAAAATATAAAAATAAAATAATGCTGACCTCAGTCACAATACTATTTTTCTTATCTCAATTTCTGCCTCTGTATTGACCATACAAACTTCTGTGCCGCAGAAGAATGAAAATTACAACCAAAAACATAGTTTAATATAATAAAGAACTATAATTTGATTTTTTATAAAAGTTTTTAAGATATATTTAATTTATCTGGAAGGCAAAGTTAGAGAGAGAGAGAGAGAGGGAATCTTCTATCACAGGTTCACTCCCCAAATGGCCACAACAGCCAGGGCTAGACAAAGCCGAATCCAGGAGCAGGAGCCAGGAACCTCATCTGGTCTCTCATGTGGGTGCAGGTATCCAAAGACTTAGGCCATCTTCCACTGCTTTCCTAAGCACATTAGCTGGGAGCTGGATCAGAAGTGGAGCAGCCAGAACTTGAACCAGTGCCCATATGGGATACAGCATTGCAAGTGGTGGCTTAACCTATTATGCCACAATGCTGGTCCTTTTAAAAAGATTTTATTGTGAAATATTGCACGCATACAGAAAAATAAACACATACACAATTTAAAGAATTATAAATGGAGTTTTTTTATCTTTACAGTATTTCCATGTCTGTTATGGATTCCTGGAGAATATATGTTGCTGTATGTTTTTTTTTCTTTTTTTCTTTTTTTTTCTTTTATTGACAGGCAGAGTAAGACAGTAAGAAAGAGAGAGACAGAGAGAAAGGTCTTCCTTTTTCCGTTGGTTCACCCTCCAAATGGCTGCTGTGTCCTGTGCACTGTGCCGATCCGAAGCCAGGAGCCAGGTGCTTCCTCCTGGTCTCCCATGGGGTGCAGGGCCCAAGCACTTGGGCCATCCTCCACTGCCTTCCCGGGCCACAGCACAGAGCTGGATTGGAAGAGGAGCAACTGGGACAGAACCCGGTGCCCCAACCAGGACTAGACCCAGGGGTGCCGGTGCTGCAGGTGGAGGATTAGCCAAGTGAGCCATGCACCGGCCTGCTGTATGTTTTTGAACTCCATATCTAATCTTCCTTTTTTATGCAGTATTATATTTCTGAGATTCATCCAGGTTGATGCACATAGCCACAGTTCATTATTGCTACTGTTATTTGGTATTCTATTGTACAAATAGAATTTAATGTGTTTGACATGTGGGTTGCTTTTAGTTGTTTCTTTAGGAAACTTGTATAAACATTATATTTACTAGGAAATTGCTGAGCCATGGAATATGTACATGTTCAACAATATTAAATAATTTCAAATTAT